TGCTCGTACCTTTCCACTCCCCTTTTTCTCCCTCCTAGCGCTCACAGACACATAACGTGTATGGCAGTCCATTCTCCCAGCAGCACGGACTACACTGAACATGATGCTACATTCTTTAGAGCTATGCTTGTAGCATTCTGCCTGTTAGCTTAGCACAACAACAACAACAACGAAAAGGCGCTCTCTCACCCAGGAAACACGCAGTCGCAGAAAGAGAGAGAGAGCGTCGCCCTGTAACCATGGCAACCGTAACGCTGCCGCCTGGAACAAAAGAACGTAGCTGTCAAACAAAACCCAAACAGTCCTGACCCGCGACAAAATGAAACAGGAAAGTACCGCAGTGTATTCCATTTATTTCAACAAAGTAACTGTATTCTGAATACTACCTTTTTAAACGGTAACTGTAACGGAATACAGTTACTCATATTTTGTATTCTAAATACGTAACGGCGGTACATGTATTCCGTTACTCCCCAACACTGTGGGGCTGACACAATGTTATGCTGTGGATTAATGTCAAATGTAAATATACTAAATGTCTGCAAATATGCAAATCAAATTAAAATCATTTTCTTTAAAGTAGCACACTTAAGTAAAAGCAAGTACAACCACCACGAAACATTTAAACATATCTATCTATCTATCTATCTATCTATCTATCTATCTATCTATCTATCTATCTATCTATCTATCTATCTATCTATCTATCTGTGATATATTACAGTACTGTAATTATATTTTTGTTTCTGCGATGGTTAATCCACTTGCACGTGCAAGCTCTAATTGAAATTTTATTTTTAACGATAAAATATTATTATAGTTATTATCCATGAATTTTCAAATTTACAGTTTTACAAAAACCAACCAAACCAAAAAACCCCCAAAACAAAACGAAGAAGCGTGAAATAAAGTAAAGCACAACATTATTGCTGTTTTGATGAAGAAATTAAAGTTACTTACTTTCATTGCTGAACATTGTTAGGATGCCTGGGTCGTTGACCCAGGGTTTTGAGTTTATTGTGTTTTTCTCAGTCGCTTTGGTGCGTTTCTTAGAACACCATTAACATTTGCACAGCAGTTAGTGCATTTCCCAAAACAATTAGTGCAAACCGCAAAACCTAGTGGATAGCCTGCAAAAGCACGTCACATGCACAGAATTGATTATCCATACCTCAAAAGCAAGTATCCATGTCAATGAAACTGTCAGTGCCATCAAAATGAAAAGTCTTGACACCATCTTTATGAACAAGATAGTCAAATGGCATTGTCATGTTTCCACTATGACAGTTTATAATTTCAGTGTTTCCCATTGCAAAAACAATTGGTGACACCTGAAAATGCTGACGACAGCACTATGGCCTACCTGTACAGCCATCTGAAATGTGCAGTAAAGTCACTGTAGATGTTATGGGAGTCTTGGGAGTAACTGAGACACTGAATACGTACGTTTCACATTTCCATTGTGTAGAAGTGTTTGTAATCCTACAGAATTGTGCAAAAGAAAAATATGCTACAGTCACTTGTTCACTGTAGAATACATGTAAACATAAAATCACCCATTTGGTAGAGCTGTGCACTAATGTGAACAATAAACAGCACATGTAACAGTACAGTAAATCATTCTTGCACATCCAGACGTTCCTGTCTGTCTGGCCACATATTTTCATCTACATCACAACAGATGTTATCCCTCACAATGCAGCGAGGAAAGTATCTCCTGGAGTGGCGAATCCATCCTCTGCAGGACCCTGCTGTGATGTCGTCACATGCTGCATCCATGGCTGCTAGCAGGGCCATTTGCTCATGTGGATTTCATTTTTCTTGAGTACTCTGTCAATTGTTGAAATTGAAACAGATTCAATATTGCCAAATACCGTGTAATTCTCTATGACAGCGCTTTGTATGTCTCTCAGCTTTATTGCATTGTGTGCAATGACCATTGCACAAATGGCTTCTTCTTGCTGTGGGGTAAAAAGGGGCCCTCTTCCGCCTCCGCGAGGTTGTCTTACAATCCTATGTGGTGCAGAGTGAACTTTTTGTGAAATTGCAAATACAGTACAGTAACATGTGATGTGTCTGAGATGGCACAGTACAGTACAGTGTATTACTGTTTGCATACCTGTTTTCCCTACAGAATGTTTGAATGATTGAACTGACAGTAGTTCTTCCAATATTGGGTTGCACTCTTCGACCAGCCTCCTCCATGGTGAGGCCGTGATTGACAACATGGTCCACAATTGTAGCCCTTATTTCATTAGGAATCCGCCTATATCTGCCTCTTCTCCCTCTTCCCCTTCCTCCCCCATCCTCACCCCTCTTCCACGGTGCTGACCTTCCATTTTGTGTCACAGAAGTGTAGAAATGGTACACACTAGCTCCTGCGCAGTTTATATATGCTTGCCAATTGGGGATTCACAGGATTCATCCATTATTGACAGTGAACAAGTTGTTTGTCATTGGTTACAACTAAACTTTCACACGCCTCCTCATGAGTGACAGCTGTAATTCACCTGAGATCAATTGTTCAATTTCGGAGACATTTCCAGGAACAATGATACAGAAAGGTATAGGATTTGCTTGACAGATGGCCAATATTTGGCATGTGATAACTAGTTCAACAATTTTGTGTGTGATGACTTAAGCAATGGATGTATGACTATTAGTTTTATTGGGAACGACTATTCAGCATCCATAGGTATGATTACTTTTGACTGACATGACATAAGCAAATGGAAATGTCAGAAAGCAGCAGGGAAATGTATGGAAGCAACTGATTCATGTCCAAAATCATTTGCAGTTTGTTCAGGGAGAGGAGAAATTGCTACTATGATGTGCACAAATGACTGAGTGTTGTGGAGGTTGAACTAATAGTTATGAGAATTTCAATTCTGATCTGAGAAACGCACCAAAGCGACTGAGAAAAACGGTATCATTTCTATTCTTTGGTTTCTTCGTTAGAGTTATGTCTTATGGTTTATGTCTCTGTGTAATCCTTAGTTGCTATATCCCCGTGTCCAGTCAGTGTCTGTCTGCCCTGGTACCATGTCTTTGTTCCCTTTGTTGCAGTGCCTGCATGTGAGTCTGTGTCTTTAGTTCAGTCTGTGTTATGTTTCCTGTTTTATTTTGAAGGTCCATGTCTGATGTTAATGTATCTGGTTTTGCTTCCTTTGTCTCGTTAGGCCTGATTTGCCCCAGCTGTGTTTCCCTCCTGTTACCTATTCCCTGATTGCTCCCTCTGTGTATTTAAGCCCTGTGTTTCTCTGTGTCTGTGTTGTGATCTACCCTTATCTAGCTGTGTGTTCTGTCTGTGTAAGTGTCTTTCTAGTTTTGCTACCCTTGCTACCCTTTTGAGTTCAGCATTAAAGCTGTGTTTTGAGTTACTCTCCGGAGTCTGCACTTTGGGTCCTTCTCCTGCCTTCACACATCCGTCACATAACAAATATGAAATTAGTAGTCTGATATCATGGTTGTCTTAAAGTCCAGCGGGCTGGCTTAGGGGATGAAAAAGTAAATTCAGTTTGTTATTAACTTCATAAATAGTGCTATCATTTTTACTTTAAGTTTTCTAAAGATTTCCAAAATATGGCTGTATTTTTATTTTATTAGCATGAGGAGGGATTTGTTTCTATGTTTGTTGTGACTGGGCTTTCCACATTTCTCTGTCTCAACCAGCACCAACAAAATGATAATAAAAATAAGAATAAATAAGAGCCACTGGTAGAAGCATTTGGACAGAAACTAAAAACTAAACAACAAATATTCAGCCCAGACTGTAAGTATTTGGACATTTTGAATATTTTTGTTGTTCTTCAGTGTCTCTGCTTAAACACATGCATTGTTGACATAAATGATGAGCTTTAAATCAGTTTTGGAAGAACTTGAACGACTTCAAATACAGTTTAATATTTGTTAGTTTTTTTTTCAGCATTATGAATATTGTTGCATTAGGAGGGTTTAATTTAAAGAATAAATAAGTATCAGTACAAACTAAGCATTTCTTAATAAAAAGCAAACATCTATAAATATTTATGGTTTATGACTGTGGATGAAAGGAAAATAATTTTAGACGAGATGGACATAAACCTCATTCTGTCTGCAAAGCGCTTCTCGAGTGTTCTGCAGGATGCAGGTGAGAGGTTTCACCACAAGATGGAAACAGAAACAAAGGCCTGTGTGTTGTTCCTGGAGTATTTAAAAGTAGAATGGGAGGCAGAGCCTTCAGTGTTCAGGCCCCTCCTCTGTGGAACCAGCTTCCAGTTTGGATTCAGGAGACAGACACTATCTCTACTTTTAAGATTAGGCTTAAAACTTTCCTTTTTGCTAAGTTATATAGTTAGGGCTGGATCTGGTGACCCTGAATCCTCCCTTAGTTATGCTGCAATAGGTGTAGGCTGCTGGGGGATTCCCATGATGCACTGGGCGCTTTTTCCTCACTCACTTTGTGTTAATAGACCTCTCTGCATTGAATCATACTTGTTACTAATCTCTGTCTCTCTTTCACAGCATGTTTTTTATCCTGTCTTCCTTCTCTCACCCCAACCGGTCCCGGGAGATGGCCGCCCCTCCCTGAGCCTGGTTCTGCTGGAGGTTTCTTCCTGTTAAAAGGGAGTTTTTCCTTCCCACTGTTGCCAAAGTGCTTGCTTATAGAGGGTCATTTGATTTTGCGGTTTTTCTCTGTATGTATTATTGTAGGGTCTACCTTACAATATAAAGCACCTTGAGACTGTTGTTGTGATTTGGAGCTGTATAAATGAAATTGAATTGAATAGAACTGTTGAGTTATTTCAGCTTTGATGTAAACCTACCCAGACAGATAATGTGTAGCTGTCCTCACCTTAGTGATGGCAAACCTCTCAGTCTTTCTAGAAAATAAACTTTACCACAGCAGGAAAGGACTTTAACTCCCATTTGACTAAACATAATCAAACATTTTCACTAGTTGAGCTCTGTTTTTATTTTTTATTAAGGAACAAACAAAACAAAACAATCAATCATCAGATAAAAACTATTTTATTTAAATTATCTCAGAGGGTGAAAAATACACACATCAACAGTAATAGTGTATTTATTTTCTATACAAGCACTTTGACAAACACTGATGAGTTTGTTGACCTTCGACAATCTGTGTGCACTTACACTCACCAGCCACTTTATTAGCTATACATTACTAATATAAGGTTCCAGCCCACATTTTGTTTTTAAAACCATTTTTAATTCTTTATGGCAGAGATTCAAGTGTCACTGCAGATTTTGTTGGCTGCACATCCATGTTGTGAGTCTGTGAGTCCATGAACAGGACCGAGATCTGGTGACTGTGGAGGCCATTTGAGTAGAGTGAGCTCTGTGACATCACGTGTTGATACGTTGAGCAGGTAATATAGTGGCAGGTGAGTGAAGGTTTACAGTAAGTTTGTTTACACAGTCTTATTATGAGTGACCTTTTGTGGACAAAAAAACCCCAAGTCCTTATAAATTATTATATTTATATTTAAGTTTGATATATCGTTTGATTTTGTCAGTTTGAATAATTACACAGTTGGATTAAGTTTGAACTTTTATACAGCTTAGCACAAACAAATCTACAGAAACTCTACAAACCTGTGACTTTTCAACACATTTCTGAAGTTTGTGCAATCAAATAAAGCATCTGTATCCAGACAGATTCTGTCTTTACTTGATTTTCTAGCATCCAGTTTTTGGTTATAGTTCGATAAAGCTAAAAAATGTTTGGTTTGTTTGTTTCCTTTTCTCTCTTGTATGTTTAGTTTGATACACTTTAATAATCATGTTACAGAGAATCGTTGTCGTAGACATCTGAAACAAAACAGAGAAAGAAAATGCGCCTTTATACTTGCACTTCAATTACAAATGACAAAAGCTCAGTCTGACTGGATTTTATTGCAGAGTATAAAAACGGAAACTTACCATCTGCATAGTCGACGTCATCATAAATGTCTTGTTCCCTGCAAAAGAATATTTGGAACTTGTGATATTCCATAAGCTTCATCAACAAGGTTTAAACTAAACTAGTTAAAAGCAGAAAAGATGGTTATATACAAGCCATTGCTGTGACGTGCATATTTTTTGTAACTGAGTGGATAATTTCAGTTTTAATGTTAGTTTATGAATACATGAATAGATTTCCAATAATAATATATGCTTCTGAGGCCCAGACAAAAACAAGGTTTGGATATTTAGATAAGATTTGTAAAAGACAGTTTCACAAAGACTACATGTGAAAAAAACATTTTATTCAACTAAAATAAAAACAAAAACTAGACTTTCAGAAAAAAGACAAAGCTAAAATAAAACAAAAACATGAAGCGAGTATCTTTAGTTTTAGCACTTGTACATTTTGTAAAACGTATTATTAGCATTTGGCTGATGAGGATTTGATGGGCAGTTTGTGTGTATTGGATTTTTGTGTTTTACTGGGTTTCCTGTCTCTTGCTTCTGTTCTCCAGAAACACTAAATAAAGGATTAAAACGAACACTGAAACTAATAAAAACTGAAGCAAAACTAAACATTTTAAGCAATTGAAACTAAACTGAAACAAGCAAACTGGCTCCTGAAATGAACTGAAGCTAGACTGAAAATTTTTTTAAGTTAAAATTAAAAAATAAATAAATAAATAAAGCTAAAAACAAATTAGAAAATACAAAACTGTAATAACTTTTGTTACATTTTTTTTTAATGGTTATTTATGATTTTTCATCTTGGCTCTTGCTTGATAACAAAACGATTTAATGTGATAAAATGATCCTCATTCGTATGTACTCCTATTTCATAAACACAGAAACAAGAAGAATAGAAGAAAAGTGAAAGCTCAGAGGAGCTGGAATCGGGGGAAAAAGACAATGCCTGAAATCTGCTGTGGATAATAAGCATTGTGGAAGCTGCTGAAGCTGTGGGAAGGGAAACATCAGCTCATCTAGACGGGCACTCTACACTTTAAGTGAGGTTTCCCCTTCCAGAGGATATTATTCTTTCCCCTGTTATCAATCTCATTTGTTACTGTGATCGACTGCCTAATGTTGAAGAATCTGTCTCAACCTATTAATAGGACCCAGAATAATATAAAGCTAAAGAAAGGAGAGGTGCAGTTTAATGCACTTTTAGCAATACATTAATAATTATATAAATCAGTAAATAGTTGAAGAAATCAAACTTTTAGGTGGTTATGCACATTTGTGTGTACCTGAATTCCACTTAAAAGGTTTCTACTTCCTGTTCTGCATGTTGTAATGAAAAAACGACACAGTCCTAGCTTGCACATTGCTTCGCATGCACACAGACAGCGTGTGTTCTCACACATCTAGTATACATGCAAATATACTTGCCAGGTCGGGGGGCAACCAATGTAAAACTAGGAATATGTTTAGTTATAAAATTTCAAATTCTTTTGTCCTTCAATACAGGTGTTCAAGTAACAGCCTGTATAAAATGAAAATATTTGCAAAACTCAGGAGGCACGAAAAAAGTGCAAAAAAAAAAAAGCAATTAAATTAATGTTATTTAAACCTCTAACACTGTCTACTACATTAGTGTTAGTTTTAATTTCAAAGATGGGAATTTATATAATAAATTCCTAGATGCAATGATCGGATTAAATTAGTTTCAACAGATCTTTTTAAACAGTATCATGCACTCGGACACACAGATGTGCACATCAATGACCCTTATATTATACATTTCATACACTAAGCTTTTATCTTTGACAATCTTCAAAAAACACACATTTAGTGTGATTTATTACTTCTTTACACTTTAAGGAAGTACATTGACATAGTCAGTCACATATGAAGTCAGGAGGATTCACTTACATTGGAAGAAGAAGAGATCTGGACACATAACCATCTGTGAAACAGGAGACAGCACAGAAATTATCACTATTTATTATCATCATTTGAAATATTGAAATACTTTTTGAATTATTGTCTGATATTACCACACAAAAATGATCTGTGTTGTGTTTTTATTACTCCATAAAGACTTAAAAGGCCGATGGGTATTGTTGTTGCCCTGCTGGGCTGGCAGGCGATGTGAATGTGATAGCTTGAGACCGAGCCGACGTAGGAGTTTCAAATTTATATAGCGTAGGTGTAGCTACTAAAAATCTCAAACGAGTTCGAATCCCAGTGACGTGACCTCAAAATCAAGGTGAAGTCCACCAGTACATCTTTACTTAGGTTAGAGGGATTGTTCTCTGTGGAGTTCATTCATGTATTGGCATATGTTAGTTCATCCTCACTAGTACTGTATCTTCTTGTATCCTGTCAAATCTTAATCTTCTTGTGTCATGTTGTCAAGTCCTTGTCGCTGTGTAATAACGCTTCCTCTTTTATTTTGGTAGGCATTTGTCTCCCGTGTCTTATATTTCATTTTTCTTTCTTTGTCATTACCTTGATTAGCTTCAGCTGTGTTTTGTTACTCTAGTGTTTCCATTCTCCCTGATTACCTCATTAGTGCATATATATCACTAGTCTCCCTACAGTCATTGTCAGTGTCTTTTCTTTTGTTGTTGTTGTTGTTATAATTGTGTGCTTCATGTGTTTCTTTAAGAGTTTGCTGTTTTTATGTGTTACTGTGAATTTTGCTTCTTTTGTCCATAGACTTCTACCGTCAGTCTAATTAACAGTTATTTTTTTTATACTTTGTCTGCATATCCTGCATTTGGATCCCTCTTTGCTGTGACTGTGACACTATGTTTTAAAGACTTTCATTGAACATCAGTGATTATAAAGGAGTAAATTCTTGTAACTTTGTTGTTCTCTTGGCTTTATCTTTCTGTGGCACAAATTTGTGTTTAATTGAAATATCTTAAGTTTTATGGTAATATTTGGGTCAGGTTTAACCAACAAGAAAGGATATAGGAAGAAATGTCAATGGCCTGATCTTTCATCAAGCAGCAGCAGATCAACATATTCAGCAAATACTGTGCTGTAGAGAGAGAAGATGTCATTTTATAATAATTATAAATAATAAAGAAATAAACTGTGTGACATCCCCTTTTATTATTACTAGAAATAATGTTTTATTTGGCTTTCATTTGAGGTAATTTTTTATTTAGTTAATTAATATTTTTGGGAATGTGATTGCACTGTTTTGTTTTGTTTTTCAGCATGCTCTTATTATTATTATTATTATTATTATTATTATTATTATTATTATTATTATAATCTTCACAGCAGTTTCTTGTCTAATCTTTGTTTTTAATATTGTCTTTAAGTCACCATTGACTCCATCTGGGCCATGTTCAAACACATAAACATACAAATGGCTGAAATGTTTTAATTATAAAGCCTCTTCTGCGAAAGGTTTAGAAGATGCGTACATCTTTTACAGGAATTTTATTTCTTTTTCCAGAGGCCGTAATGAACGACATATGAAAAGAACAGTAAGAAAAGCTCATGACATCATATATTTGAAAAAGGACAAACAAACAAAATCCCAGAGTACTTCATGTTTTCTTAAACCAATGAACTGCAAATTCTACAAATTACAATTACAAAAGTGAATGAGATGCTGATGGTTTTACATACATTTCCCAAACCTGTTGCGACACAGAGCTTTCTTGCTGTTGGTGAGCTGGATGACATCCACAATCTCTCCCTGTGTTACAGGCAGATCTTTTGCTCCTGGTTTCTTTATGATGGAGTTAGGATCCACTAACATGGTGTGCAGCACCCTGAGTGGTCCATCATACTGGGAAACAGTCACAGTGGTCGAATTAAAAAAAAATAAATGAAAAGGGCGATTCCCATTGCATGAGTAAAAAACAAACAAACATCTGAATTGATTGCAATGCAGATGGCACTCTGCAAAGTTTTTAAAAAGGTTTACCTTAAATTTTTTTTTCAAATCCTTCTCCACTTTGGGGTCTATGCTGAAAATATAATATGGTATAACAGTTAATCACAAATGAATTCATTATCAATTTTCTCATTGTTAAATTTAGTTTTTCTTTAACACCATCTGATGTCACCAGTGACTAGATCTGCACACGTAAAAGTTATTTTTATGATGAAAATTCACTAATACTTAGTCATCAATATCTCAGCCTACTTCAAATTAATTGGGGGTTAACTGATACCTGATTTCAGGTGGCGGAGGTGGGAAATCTTCAGGTAGTGGTTGGACATCATCATAGTCATCTGAGAACCAAAAAAAAGTTCATAAAACAGATGCTAAAAGGAATAAATAATAGTAAATAATAAATGCTACATAATAAGAAATAATAATAAATATTATCTGATGAAAGAAACTGTTTCAAATATTTGTCATTAAAACTAAAATTTTTTAAAAGTACATAGCTATCACTTGCATACTGCAAGATTGCCAAGTAGCTCATAGAAATGTTCTAGAAAAGACAAATTAGGCACCAAATATATCCCTATACATTTTTCCACTAGAGAAAAATACAAGAGAAAAATCCTTTTGTATTTTTATATAATCTTAACTTGGCATAGATTGTTATTTGCACTTCACTGTGGTCTGCAGTCACTTACCCTCATCTTGAATCAGGCTGCAAGTTAGAGGAAACATACAAACAAGGGTTTAGTTGGAAGAGACGTGAGTAAAACTGAAAATGAAATTCAACTGAACAGATGTGAAGCTGCAGCAGAATTAGCAATCTCTTATCCTGCACCTGTCTCTGTTGTCGGAGTCCATATTAAAGATCTGTGGTGGGTCCGGGGGTGGTGGAGGTAACGCTTGTGAGTTTGATTTTTTGTACCCGTGTTTGATCTTCACTGCTTCATAGTCAATATCCACACACGAGTTGTTGATGTATCCATCTGCAGAGAAGTGCAACAACAAAATGAAGCACTGTGGCTTGATTGTGACATTTCATGATTATACGATACGTATTAGCCACACATAATCATCTAATACCCAGAATCTGATCTGTATATTAGATGATTATTACTTATTTTATTACTTAATAAAACTAGATTTATGCTAAATAGCCACAGCACAGAATCCTAGAAGAAAGATGAATCAAGTGTCTTTGAACATGGCATGGTTGTTGGTGCCAGGATTTTCCCAGATAGTGGTCCAAAAAAGAGAAAATATCCAGTGAATGGCAGTCCTCTGGGTGAGAATGCCTTATTGAGGTCAGAGGGGAATAGCCAGAATGCTTTGAGCTGATAAAAACACAACAGTCATGGAAATAACCACTTATGACAATCAGAGGATGCAGAAGAGCATCTTTCAACACAACATGTTAAACCTTGAAGCACATGGGGTACAGTAGCAGAAGACCACACTGGTTGGCAATCCTGTCAGCTAAGAACAGGAAACTGTGGCCACAATTAACACGAGCTCACCAAAACTGAACAACAGAAGATTGGATAAAAGTCTAGTCTGATGATGAGTCCTGATCTCTGCCGCCACGTTATGGTAGTAGAATCAGAATTTGGGATAAACACCTTGAAAGCATGGATCGATTGTATCAATGGCTCAGGCTTCTCTTCATGGTGGGGGCACAGTTTGGGATCTTGAGTACCAACTGAGTATTCTTTGGTGCTTCCAGCAGGAACAAGTCACAAAGCTCAAATATATGACAATTAGTTCATTGTATTCAGATAGACTCCACAGTCAGTAGATGTCAATCCAGTAGAGCACCTTTGGGATGTGATTGAATGGGAGACATTACAGATGCACAGCTACAAATCTGGATCAGCTGCACCAAAATCTCCAAGGAGTCGTGTTGAATTTCTACTCAATTTCACAAAGAATTAAAGATATTCTAAGATCACAGGCACATCCAAAGGGGTAGCTAACAAAGTGAGCAGTGAATGTATATTTATATCCAGAGTCTGCATTTCTAACATTAACACAGGAAGCAGTTGTTTCTCAGTTCCATATGAGAGTTCAACTATTGTTAAATGAATCTGTGCAGAGGGAGCAACAGCATCACTCTCCTGCTACATAAGCACGCTTACACCATAATGTGCTAAAGTTCTGTCACACTAACTGCATTTTGTTTACATTGTAACTTTGTGATACTTTAGACGTTATGGTCTCAAATGCTCAGTTGCAGATACTTTATATTTTTGAGGACATAGTAAAATAAATAAATAAAGTGAAAAGTTGTTGCCAGAGCCCTTTGAGGAAGTAAGGAACAGAAAAAATATCTTACAGAAGGAAGTACCGTAATTAACGACTTTCGGGGGAAAAAGTGCGAAAGCTGCATTATTTGAGTTTTCATTTGTCAGTTACTGGCATTACTTTGCTTTTTTGATGAACAAATGAAAAAAAATAAAATCAGTAGGAAGAAACTGAATAAATCTGACATGAAAGAGGGACCTTGTGCTAAAATACGACGCCAAGAGGTCCTCACCAAGCAACTCACTTACCCAGTCACACACACCTTCATACAGTCCTTCACTCTAAGCCTAATTATTGCCTAATTCTCACACACACACTCTGCACCAGGATACTTTGATATGCAGACTGGAGGAGCCGGAGATCAAACCATCAAGACTTCCGATTGGTAGACGCCCTGCTTCATCTCCTGAACCACAGCTACGATAATATCACCACCGACGACAATAACCAGTGTTTCAGATGGAAAACTTTGATGCAGAAGTCTCTACTTTGTTTGCTTTCTTTTTTCTTTTGATATTTTGGTACAAGTCAATTTATTCAAAGGCTTTCTTTATGTGATTGACTGAAATGTAAACTTACAGTTTCCATTCATAGTGCGTGCCAACCATCTGCCTCCCGGGTTACCCGTCACACGGAGGATCTCCACGCTGTCCCCCTGGTGCACGCTCAGGTCCAGTTTCCCTTCCCCATTCCAGTCGTACCGGACTTTGGCGGTGTGAATAACCTCTATCTCTCCTTGTAACTGCACGGGGGAAAGATATAATGTTTACACCAAAGGGATGAGGCGGAGCAGGATAACTTAACCATTAACCATTCAGGCTAACTTAAAAGTCATCTTTTCTCTCTCCGTGTCTTTACCTGAAATTTCTTCTTGAGCTCACTCATTTTTTTCTGAATCTCTTTCATGTCCTTCTCCTGTTTCTTCTTAACTTCTTTCATGGTGGCTTTCTCTTGCTCCCTATAAGAGAAGAATCAAATAAACAAACGAAGACCGGCCACCTTTTAAAAGAATTCCCCCTTCACAGATTTTGAGTTAGGTGCCTTTATTTTTCGTTTTCTGGGCAGATAAATGTTTCACACATAAGCGTTTTACACAAAAAGTTTTTCAAGTTCTCCAGTCTTCCCACATTTCGACAGACGTTGCCTGAATTCTGTCACAATGTTTTTGCTTTAACAGGAAATTCTGTATGTTGAATCACAGGAAATGAGTGTGACTTACTCTTTATAGTAAACGATAAATAAAGATGTAGATATCGTACCAAGGTACCATTTGTTGCACTGTAACTTAAATACTGCACCACAGATCACTTATGAGTTGCAAAAATAACAGAAGCAGCAACAGAAACAATAGAAACTGTAGACTGCTTTCTGTTCATGCAGCTGCAGCCACATTTCTATTAAATAGAGACTCAGTGGTTTAATGGGGAAGACAGAACATTCATACTTACTCATCAATCATCTCATACACCTCGTCGTCATCATCCTGCAAGAGAAAAGCTTTTATTTGTACCCGTAAAGAGCAAAGACAAGTCATCTTGTACGGGATTATTAGATAAAAGCGGCACTTCTGATTACTTCTGATAAAAGAGTGCCTTTTTGTAGATTTTCAAAGCTTAAATCAAAAAATGATCAGAGCTGTTTATTTTTTGTGCCTTATTATTTTCTAAGAGTGCAATGTTGGTTTTAAACCTAGTCTATTAACAGATTCAGGGAAATGTGCACTATGTTCTTGCAAAGCGAGACTTCCACGGTGGTAAATTTTTCATTTTTGCTTTTCTTTACTCACCCCATCAACACACTGTGAACTGTGTTCGCTGCAGTTCTCTGTAAAGTAACGCAAAATATAAATTATAAACCGATATGTGAAAACAGGGCATGTCCTCTAATAGAAAACACAATGTTAAAAATACCAAGCAGTGACTATAGCTCAGACAATGTGTCAGAGAAGCTTCAAGAACAAAACAAGTCTTCACCATTTTTGTCAATGTCGATATCGTCATAGGGATCCTGTTCGTCTTCGTCCAGGTCCCTGAAATCGACAATCAGACAGGTTTCTCTGATTACTGGTCAGCAAGTGCTTTGTTACATCTGTATTGACTCAGTAGGAAAAAGCTTAATTTGACTGTTAAAACCATCATCCGGTCAATAAGGTTTTTCTTTGAAAGTATACTTAGGTGTGTTCAAAATGCATTTTGAGAAACAGTGTTGCTGTGCAACAGGCGAATCCTTGCACATATTTTCTAATCTCGGGTCACGACTGCAGCAGCGGTAAACCCTCTGCTTCGTAATTCTTCAGCATCTCTTGCCCGCACTAGATGTAAATGAAGTCATTTGAAAGCTGAAACTAAGGTGTCCTATAATACTTGGTTTAAAACACTAAGAGTTTCACACAGTTTCCTTTGCATCAGTTCAGCAGCACTGGGCCTCTTACATAAGAGGCTCAAAACCAGACATAACAGGGCTTCACATCATCGTTGTGTTAACCCAAATACTTACGCAGAGGCAATCTGCCGCTGCAGTCTGTTGGGTTTGTCAGAGCGTTGTGGAGGTTTTGGAGGACTGACCACTGCCGGTGGTGCTACAGGTAAAGACATCCTTCTGCTTCCTGAGCCTACAAAGAGTAGCAGAGAAAAAAATCTTTGCACAATGACGTTACGACAAAATGAAATGGATGAAAGAAGTGTAATCCCACAAAAAGCAATCACACAAACAGCAGAAATTACTGCTTTACACACGCGATGTTTGGTGCTCTGTTTGAGTGTTCTGCTTTTTCCTTTAAAGTGGTTGAACAAATCAAGTTTTTAGCACATTTTTGTCACTGACAAAGCACACTGAGGACTGTCAGTGTCAGAATCTGTCTCATTACAAGATTTGAAAACAGATTCTTTTTAAAAGTCTCTCCTCCTTTTAAGAGTCTGATTTATTTTCCAATAAATCAGACTTAATGCTTGATTTACGTTCGGAGCTTTACCTCACCGCAGATTGCTGTTGTCCCTTTTAGATTTGATTTGGACAATTCTGACATTTTCAGCCATTGTAGCAAGAAAATTAAAGACACGGTTATGTTTCTGTCCATCTCCGTGACAGGACATGACAGCGTGAAGAACATCAGGTCCACTTAACTGAGCAGCTCAAAGGAAGTTAGTCATCATTCATTTTATTATTTGTATTTTTGGGAGTTCAGTTAGGAGCGCCCCAGGGCAGCTGTGGCTACAATGTAGCTTGCCATCACCAGTGTGTGAATGTGTGTGTGAATGGGTGAATGACTGAATGTAGTGTATAGCGCTATACAAATGCAGGCCATTTACCATTTTACCATAAACTATACACCAGCCACAGTCACAGTACAGCAGACACAAACAAGTCAAGATGGTCTCACTTACTGTGTTAACTTAATATGATGGCGCACCTTATTAAGGGACTTGAACACCTGAACCAGACAGACTTACCATCACTCGTCCTCGGGGCAGGAAGAGCAGGAGGAAGCCCTCTCCTGTTCCTCCGAAACGGCTCCAAGTTGACAGTCGGAGGTCTTTTAGGTTTCACGGGCATCGGTCCTTCAGGGGGCAGAGGCCTCCTCAGTGGGGTCACTTCCCCCGCGCTCCTCTGTCGAGGCTGCTGTCTGAGTGGAAGAGGGGTAGAGGTGGGAGGTGGAACAGGAGCTGAGCTTCCAGCTCCTAGTCGGGGTACCTGGGGTACCTGGGGTACCTGGGGTACCTGGGGTACCTGGGGGACCGGGGACTTCTGATGCCTCAGCATCATGTTCTGTAGCATCTCCCCCGTCTGCTTGACTTTGGTAGCATCTGTTGGCTGAGTGGGGGTTCTGAGTCCAGCATAGGCAGGCGGTCGAGGGAACGAACCCGGTCTGGGAGGGATCGAAGCCGCCATCGGCTCAATTCTCGGGAGTCTCACCGGGCCTGGGCCAGCCAGATGAGGAGGAATCGTGGGTGAAAGTCTCTGTGTCAGCTCGCTCTCTGCCACTGGAAGAATGGCTCTCCCAAACCCAGGTCGAGGAGATTTCGGCGAGCCGCTGTCCCGGCTGCTGGTATCCGAGGTGCTGGATTTGCTGTTGAACTTGGCTCTCAGAGCCTTGACATCAACGCTGTCCCCCTGAAAACAACACAAGAGCAGAATCTCAACTGCAGCAGCTCTGCTTGTAAAGCAGGAAGTTAGCAGCGCAGCACAGAGCAAGGCATGCCCCCCACGCACACAAACACACACACATCAAACCCCTACGCTATCTTTACAAAGTGAGAATGCAGCGTGCAACAACACTGTTTCCTGGTTTGTTTTGATGTTCACAGAACTGATAGCTCTCTTTGCAGCACTTGAAACTTCTTGGTGAACTCTGAACACCAAAGAACCAAATGATGTGAGAAGTAATTATTATTAGATGTTAGTCAAGAATAATAATAATAATAAAAAAAAAGTAGATCAGCACAAATGCATTTTTAAAAAGCATGTGAGCTAAAGTCCTGTTTGCCGAGATTTTTGGTGAAAGTAAACACAGGGGGAAAACAAAAATCTTGTCACTCTTGAGAAATATGCTAAATGAAAGCATCTTCTAATAAAACACAATGTTATGCACTGAGGGCTCAACCCTGGGACCAGCTGTTTTACTTCTTACCCTTGGGTCATCTTAACAGGCTCATTAATTCGTACTTCAGCTATATTGAAGATAAACAGTAGTGCCTCAGTGCTTCACCATTAATAATCCTCAGTTTTACCATCACAGCTGACCTTGTTGTGTTTGGCTGTGTTTAGCTTCTCCGGCGACCTCAAATCACCTCCTTGAAATCTTTGACAAGAATTTAAATTTTGAACGTGATCTCCGAGCTCACCCAGTCTCATTTATTTCATCTAAGAAGCACAAATCAAACCTCTGCTGTCATTTAACAAGTTGGAACTTTTATTTTTTCCCATCTCGATTATTTGAACTCATTGTTCATGCGTGTTTCTAAGTCCTCTGGTTGGTTTAGATGCAGCAGCCAAACGCCACATCACCCATATTCTTGCTTCCCTGCATGAACTAGAGGTCGTTTTAAAATGTCGTTCATCACGTATAAATCCTGCTGAGACCTCGTTCGGTCTGTTGTCTTTGATCAGGACTTTTTGTTTTTTGAAATCCATTTTTCCAATGCTTAAACTTTGGAAAAATGTTGTTGCGGTTTTGCGGATGACTGAAGATAGGATAGGACTGGTTCACATCAAAACTGTGGACCAATTTGCAATTGTGCATTTTAAAATAAAGTTATCAGTGCCAAAACCAAGTCTGATACCAGCGCTTTGTTTTGTCCATATTTGTAATCTGTTTGTTTCCCTGCAATGCTGCAAAATAACCTATTATGACAATCATGGCAGCATAATCCGAGCAGATTTGTTTGGATCAACACTTCCTCAAACACATTACTGGTTAAAGTCATTTTAATGGTGATGTATTGAGACCTAAACTGCACATCTTGCAGCTATTCTAAGTAAGTAAGTACAAATGAAATTATGACTTAAGATGACTGAAGATAAATATTGCAAAGTGCTTCACAACAACAAAGTTTTTAGTGGGAGTTCAATGGGAGCGAGTCCACCGTTACTCCAAAAGCTTTAGTTCTCAGCCTCGTCTGCTCCACATGCAGCGGGCCACATGACCTCATATAACCTGCTGGGGATCAAATCAAATCAAATCAAATCACTTTTATTGTCACATCACATGTGCAGGTACATTGGTACAGCACATGTGAGTGAAATTCTTGTGTGCGAGCTTCACAAGCAACAGAGTTGTGCAAAATACAATAATGTAAACAAGCAAAATACAAGAATGGCTACATCTGAAAATAATAATAAATATATGTACAAATATATGTATCAATGTAAACGTTTATTTATGTGTGCTGGTGAATGTCCATTTTTAAAAGGAATGAGTTGGAAATCGTAAATTACTCTGCTGCATCACTTTATTCAGTTCAGTTTAGAGTATTTCACATGTTCTCTAGCAAGCTGGCAGTAGACTATTTATAAAGGTGGATGACCTCACTGCTCCCTAAAAGTAAAGCCAAGACATATCAAGACACTGCTGACTCCAGTGAGGGCTTCCACTGAGTGAGAAAAAACCCCGTAAACATCAGAATATCTTTCTCCAAAGTTGTTTTTCAATCATTTTTAGTAGATCTTGTGAGTGTGAGTAGATCTCACTGATGTACTATCAAGCATTAATCAGACATTTAGTGTTACAAACACGGAATGTGATGTCATGCGTGACACCTGCACTGAAAAAGGTAGTCACGAAGGGAGCTGCTTACTTCTTCTTGGAAACTGTACCTCAAGATCTGCAGATCTGAGGGAACTTATGCAAGTTAAACGTGTGCTGTGTAAACTATTCGTTAAACTAATGTTGTTAATCGCTCTGACAACAATAAGAAAAGAAAAATTAAAAAGTACATTACTCATAGCCTGATCACTGCAACATCACTCACTGATTAATGCCCCATCTTGAAGCTGTTAGCCGAGGCTTTCATTTTGTCTTTGTATTTTAAAAGTCAGCATGGCGAGTGAGGAAGGGACCAGACTGAGAACTAGGAGGACGGCGCTCTCCGTGACATTTGGGACGAAGACACATTTTATTGTAGTTGTAGCTTCTGTACACCACTGCAGTGGATTATAAATCAAAGAACAAAGATGTCACTGAACTGATGACTGATCACAAATTTAGCATGAGCTGTTTGAGACTGACAGTCACTTTTATGCACAGCCTTCACATTTTAGTGAACTAACATCAATTTAAACATATATATAAAAAATACTCCTTTGAATGCTTGCATGAAAGAACAACTCACCAAATGCTGTTTTTTCCATTGAGTTGCTCTACTAGTCCTTTACTGCACCTGCCTTTAGCTGCTGCTTGTTTGAGGGTCTCTCTGCTTTCAGTTTTGTATTCAATAATAGAAAAGCATGCACTATTCAGTGGAGATCATGTGACTTACTTGGCCATTGAAGAATATTCTTTAATTGGCCTCAAGAAACTCTTGTTGCTTGGTTTGGGTCATTATCTATTTTCACAGTGAGGTGCTTTCTGATTGCTTCTGCAGCATTTGGCTTAAGCTGAGCAGAGAGTATGGTTCTGTTTGACACATAATGCTTTGGATCATGATCTGTTTCTCCCTTTCTTCATACTTTTCCTCATCATTCTGGTACAAGTTCATCTTGGTTACAACTGTCCAATAAGTTATTTATTTATTTACTCGTTTTTTACAGAACTGTTTAAGGTGGAGCCGCTTTTTTATGCTTTGCACCATTATGCCACACATGCCATTGAAGAGCCATTGAAACATTCATTACATGTGTGTTCATGTTAACCTTGCACAAGTTCGTTTTTATTGATACCTCTGTAAAGCACTTTGGGATACTACATAAATACGTTGTACTTACTGTTGTCTCTTTCTACGTGAACAGAACACTCACACCAAGGCAGACAGTCTTCAACATGTGACATGTTGTTGCTCACCTTTTGTGTAAGATGTTTATGAGCCAAGTAGGGGTGCAAAAAGGCTTAAGCCAAGGGACAGAGGAGGAAGGTACTGGCACGTTTTCCAGAGCTCACAAAAACAATCATATGACTTGCAGGAAAGCACCTTGATGACAGAGAGGTTTGCACCTGTGACCCTGGTGCACGAGTTTCTAGAAGTTACTGGCATGCGCTTCATCTGTGCATGACAGGGTGTTTTGCTTTGCTTTGCTGGTGACTGAGCACGGATCTCCCAACGCTTAATCAGCTTTTCAGAGGTCATTTCCCGTCTGATCGCTCTGTGAACCACAACGCACTGCTGCTAGCTGGTTGCTATCATACTGGCAGTTTTAACTAGACATCCACTGCATTTGAATATTTCCAAATGGCTGAAAATGAAAATGGACAGAACTGCAAACTAATATTAATTATTTAATTAATATTTCCAAGTAAACAGATGAGAAAATTAAAATAAATATATTATTTTTCCCCTATAACCTCAAGATTTTTATGCATTTTATGCATTTTACGTTTAGTCATGTTATTCTTAAAAAATGTTTCATATGGATGAAACAATGGATAATAATTAGCATCTCTGTGAAGCTTATATTTAAAATATTTTGTAGACATTGGGGTTTTTAAATGAATCCTTATGAAGTAAATCAAGAGAGGTTGCGTAGTGCTGGATGGTAGAAGCGGAAATAGAGAGAGAAACATTTTAGAGATCATTATTATTATTATCATCCTTTATTTATTCAGGTGAAAAGTCACATTGAGATTTAAATCTTATTTCCCAGTAACCCGGCCTTTCAAAATGCTCACAGCATCAAAAGAACCGTAAGGGAGATACAATCGAAACGGAAGCTGTGAAACATGAGGAATGAATATCTCAGCTGTTGACAAAATAAAAACAATAAACGAATCACACCATCACTCAGTGTCACTCGTTCAGGCTGTGAGCTGTGCAAAGTCAAAAAGTAGCTGAAGAGCAGGAAGTGCTCGCAACCACACACCTCCATACCTCAGCTAGCATCCTGCACCCGGTTACCATAGAAACGCATGCTGCTGTCACTCCTGCACCAATAAGCTGCAAGCTCCGTTCGCAGTTCGGGGCGGCAGCATCGCCTTTGTTACAGGGAACAAAGGAAGCAGACAAAAAACTTTCCCTCCAAACCACAAAAAAAAAAAAAGAAACACTCACATGCTCGCACACTTTCAGTCAGCGCGCGCCTGCTGCAGAGCAAACACAGGCTGACACAGTTAACTAGATTATTTTAAAAACCACAGACTGCTTGTGCAGGTGTGCTGCACTCAGGTCCTAATGAGAAAACAGTACTACTGTAACTCTACTGTAACAAACAAGACAGTTAAAAATACATATGCTACTGCAAATTTCATTCTTATGGTCAGGGTAAAACCAAGTTTGTTTGTTTGTTTTTTTTTAAATAATTACCAATTGTCTGCAATGACGTCCAGTTTAAAGGCCACACCATTCACAAGTAAAATGTCTTGATTTATTTTATCCCCAGTTCAGCTTTTCAGTCACCCATGAAGCCCAAGAATTATACTAATGTGTAAAATCAGAGTGGCCAGGGTTAATACTCCCTGCTGATGAGTAAAAAAGAAACAAGAAAAGTGATGGAAGAATAAAATCCTTTCCTAAAAGAGTTCATAACCTATGACTATGACTCTTTTTTTTTGTCTAACAAAAAGCCTTAGGGTGCTTAACATTCGGATACATTAGAAAATAGGTAGCCATAAAGTTTAGTGTGAATCATTAACCAGCAACAGCCTTGTAATAAAACTTGCTTTCATCCGCTTGACCATGAACATTTCTTTTTTTCCTCTCTTCAACTTCCCCTTTTTTCCCCTGTGAAACTGATCCAATAAACGCTGTTTAGAAAAACTGTGCCAAACTGTACTTGTCATGTTTTGTGGATATTGTGTTACAAAACTTGAACGTTTTAAAGATGGTTCAGTTATAAAAGTACATTTGTTCTAAGTGGAGGATACATAGAAACTGAGGTTAGACCTGTAGTGTTACAATAATACCTGCTGAGGTTCCTTCTACAAAAGTCTAGTTATTCATAAACCTCTTGGTGGTCAGGAGGAAATGGTCAGAGTTAAACACACAGCGCCTGAAGAGGATTGTGTAAGCTTCAGTGGAGGACTTCCTAATTAGTCCATCATTAGTACATTCAAAAAAAGAATAAATAAGAATGCCTTACCATCTTTTCCTTCAGTGATAGTTTATTAGTGGTCAAAACGTTCCATGTCTAGTAGTAACACCAGTATCCAGGCCGATGTAGCTGTGTGTGCTGCTGCACGCACAACCACACTGAGCTTACTGCGAATGAGGAAATGCTCTGCAATTCAGTGTGGGCAAGAGGGTGACTGATAGTGACACAACATAAGAATAAGAGCAGAAAATAATAGGCGCACCACTTTGTTTCATTTCGCCCTGAAAGGTCAGCCTTATCATAATGTGCACAACAACATCCAACCGGGCCTTACTAAGTGTGGCATTAATCTCACTGTGTGCTTTTGTTGATCTACTCTTTGTGTTTGATTATGTGCGAGCGCATGAAGTGAAGAAAAGCAAATTAATTAGGGCAGGAAAGAATAAAATAACCTTATTTAGATAAGACGAGGAGATGTTGAAAAATACATGAAAGGACGAGAATTTTAGTGAAGTAAGAGCGGGGTTTCCTCGTACGTTATGTCATTTATTCATCTTGTACACGTCATGTAGTCAGCCGTCTTTTCATAGCCAAAATCTGAGGAAGCCACAAGTTTCTTAAAAAGATTTTATATTGTGTAAATTAGACTTCCTCAAACTCTGATTTAGAAGGAGAAAAAACTTCCCCAAAATCCCTTTCAACAAGACAGAAAGTCGGAATTCATTTGATATCAGCAAATTTCACAAATCAAATGGTTAAACAGTCCATTTCAAAAAGTCCTGTTTAAAAAACTGAACATAGTAAGTGATCAACATCAAGTCCTCATAAATTTACAGACTACAGGATTTGTATGAAAAAATAAAGTTGGAAGTTCTGAGCATTTATTGACAGATTTCACTGTTCAGCACAAACATTTTATTACATATTCATTAGAAATAAAAATTGTACAGTTTGTCTGTTAGTCTGTTTAAGCTTTTATTAATGTTAGTAATAGTATTGTAATATTTATTTCTTTATTTGCTGTTGCCATGTTGAGCTACAAGAGTTCAAAGATCTGGATTTTAAGAGTAGTCCATAACTTTTCAAGACGTTTAAAGTCGGGGCTTTCTGAAGGCTATTCCAGACGTTTAATGGGGCATTTCTAACTTCTTTAGACCTTCACAAAGGGATGATCCCAGGATCATCCCTTTGTGAAGGTCTAAAGAAGACCCAAACTGTCACCCTCAGATGAAAGGAAAAGGCTCAAGCCTGCCATGAACTGCAAACGTCTGGAACAGCAGCATCACTGTCCACAGTAAAGTGAGTATTGCTGTCTGAGAGGGTATTGATCAAGAAAGAAGCTCCTGCTGCAAAACTGGCAACTTCAACCTCAACTGAAATTTGCAGTTGCCCACATGGACAAGTCAAACAATTTCTGGAGAAAAGTTTTATGGTCAAATGAGACAAAGATTGAGATTTTTTGCCTAATAACACTGTACCAGCTGTCAAGCATGGTGGTGGTAGCATCATGCTCTGGGGCTGTTTTGCTGCAAATGGTACTGGTACATTACACAAAGTGGATTGAATAATGAAGGAGAAGCACTACCTCTGAGCTCATCAAATTAATCTCTAATCAACAGTTAGATGCTTGAAACTTGGACACAACTGGATGTTCCAACAGGATAATGATCCTAATGGATAAAGCAGGCTAACTAAATGACCTTCCCAAAGCCCTGACCTCAACCCTATTGAAAATATGTGGACTACACTCAACAGGTGGATCCATGCCAGGAAACGAACAAAATTAACTGAACTCTGAAGTCTATGAATTCTGCCAAGAAGAATGGTTAAATGTCCAGTCAGAATTATGCCAAATGCTTGATGATGGCTACCAAAAGGGTCTGATTGAGGTGCAACCTGCTAAGGAACGTTTCACCAAATATTAATGGTTGTGTATGTATATTTTTGAAACCCACCCCCAAAATAAATTCAAACTTGTGCACGCAATTCTTGTTCAAATAAATGATTAAAACCTCCAAATTACCACAATATTCATGCCCATGCTGAGTGGATGTAAACTTTGTACCATAACTGTACTTCAGTTTACAATATTGGCGAATGAGTCAACACTGTTGGCTCACAGCAAGAGGATTCAGGCTCAGTCTGGGGGCTTTCTGAGTAGCGTTTGCGTGCTCATGGTCGTGCCTGTGTGGTTCTCTATGGGCTCTCTGGCTTCTAGAGTCGGTTTAGGTTTACAGGTGACTCTAAATCAGCCGTAGGTGTGGATATGAGCACGAACTGTTGTCTGTCTATCTCTGTTAGCCCCTGTGAAGGACTTGAAACCTCTCCACCTCTCATCTCATGGCAGCCCTTGAAGTAGTTAAATATATAAGAAAATGAATGATATAAGAATATTGGTGCTATAATTTAGAGCTTCATTGTAGGTGTGTAGTGGTGTTTTCTTTTACTAAAAATTCTAAAAACAAAACATGAACTCAATAAATTCATATTTCTACACTCATTTCAAAGGAGGGAGGGGTTCTCCAAGGGTGAGGACACTGACAGTGGCGCTGCTGTTGTTCCTATAGGGGTGGAGTTTAAGGAGTTTAAAGGGGTGGAGTAGCTGTTAACACCAGAGGGCGTAGGGGCTGCGTTTCCTCCCATCATGAAACCGGGCACAGGGTTGGCCATGCTGGGAGCCTGGCTTAATGTAGGGGCTACTGTGACACCTGGTGGTGCCCATGGTGAAATGTTGCCAGGCGCAGTGGGCCACGGGGCCGCCCACTGGTTTCCTGGAAGCACCTGCTGGCCCCAAGGCATGCTGGCTGGAGGGTATGTGGGAGATGAGTATGGAGAGCCACCTACAGGATGTGTGGGGAACATAGAGAGAATCTGCGAGCTGGAGAGCACTTGCTGTTGCTGTGGAGGCTCTGACGGAGGAGAAAAATAGTTTTTGTTTTTCAAATAGCGCTACACTATGAGGTGTACTGTTATTACAAATCTGCTGTTTTTAAGAGGAACGCGTCCTTATGTTTACTGATACCTGGGATCTGAGTTTGTGCCAGAGGCTCCCCCAGTGGGGTCGAAAACACTTCCATCAGCTCATTGGTGGATGAGGGCTGCTGGCAGAAACAAGGAGAGAATAAAATATAAATTCTCACCTACATGTTACCTAAAAGTGAGGAGACAGAAGTGTAGTTGTATTACAATCGTCTTATTTTGCGAGATTCCATAATGCTGCACCAAAGCTATTATAATGAGCTACAACTAAACTAATAAGTGACACTGGGGGTGAAAAAAATTATTAATTAGGATCAAAGCTAGACTTTAGTTAAAAAGTTAAACTTAAACACACTGAGCACCTGTAAAAGTATAATATACAAATAATATCATATACAAGTATACAAGAAAGATGTATACATATAGCACTATAAAATCACAATTTATTAAAGAAACTAACTGTGAAAATAATATAAACTAAACTAAAAATAGTCACGAATAACTAAAAGAGTAAGGTCATGAACCCAAGTGTCTAAAATGACTTTCCTCCTCAGGCAGGCTGCGCTCAGCCTGAGAGAGGGGACGAGGAGTTCAGACAAGCCTCCCTTTGGAGGTTTGGAGACCCCAGGGTAAAACCACAATCAACTGGAGAGATCGCATATCTAATCTGGGACAACTTCAGGATCCCCTGGGAAAAATCAGAAACTGGGAGACACTGCTGCTTAGCCTCCTACCATTTCAACCCAACTTTGGACACTTGCTTTTGTCAGCTATTTCATGTGAAATATGGCTGTTATCTCACATAAAAACTTGTATTGTTGTTTTATACCTGCTTTGTCTGCTGTGATGAAACATCTGGCCGTGGGCTGAACAGATCTTCAAGAGCTGGTTCCTGTAAAGTAAGCAAGTCCATGTATAAAAACACAGAAATATTTTGTTTAAATTTGGGATCACCTTCATTTAGAAAAAGTGAAAATGATTAAAAATAATGAACCTCTGCTGCTGAGCTCTTGTGTAGAACCAGTAAAGAAGCGCCCTGAAACAGAAAAAAAAACCAACAGTGGTGAGTGAAAGCTAACAAATAAACCAACCAAAAGCACAGGGACAAAAAAAAACTTCTTTCTGACTTGTGTTGGTGTCTCTGCAGGCTGCTGCGAGATCTCTCGGTCCACATGCTGACAAACTTCCTGGATGTCGAGGAACACTGGATGTGCCTGAGAGACACAGATAAAACATCTTACTGCTGTGCAAACTCTTAACAGGCCAATGCAGCCACATGCAAAACAAACTATAGTGACAATCATTCTCGTTCACGATGAGCTGGCTTTTTAAAGTTTGCTTTGCATGCCTGTTTTGAGGAGAATGTAAGTAAGTAAGTAAAATGTATTTATATAGCGCTTTTCACAGATAAAAATCACAAAGTGCTTTACAACACAAGAAATGGAAATATAAAACAATGTAACAGTAAATAAAACAGCAATGTAATACAATAAAACAATAAAAAAACAAAGGAGGAAATTATTCAAATGCTTTTCTAAATAAAAATGTCTTAAGCTGTTTTTTTTAAAAGAATCAATGGAGTACGTGCAGCGTAGAGACAGTGGAAGAGAATTCCACAACCGTGGTGCCAAAGTCTGAAAGGCATGATCACCACGAGTTTTAACCCTCTCAGGCTCAAATTAAACTTTTTGTTGCTAATGCACAACCAAGTCCTGCAGTGGTACTTCTGAGTAAAAAAAACCTCATAAAATATGTTTGTGGGGTAATCAGGTTGTTAGTTTTTAACTGTTGCAAATCGGCAACGCCTGCCTCAAGAGGGTTAAAACAAGTGCGCGGTACCACCAGCAGTCTCTCATCTAATGAGCTTAAAGCTCGAGAAGATGAATGTGGTTTCAGCAGGTCAGATAAATATTGGGGAGCTTGACCATGTAGGGCCCTAAAGGTTAGAACTAAAATTTTAAAATGAAACCTAAAACTTGCAGGCAACCAGTGAAGGGAGGCTAAAACTGGAGTAATATGTGATCTTCTCTTGGTGCCTGTTAAGAGACGGGCTGCAGCATTCTGCACAGTCTGGAGACGATTTAAGGCTGATTTGTTAAAACAAGTAAAAAGAATTGATTGAATTGATAAACTCTTTTGCAAGAATATCAGATTACTCAATTAACTGGTCAAAATCTACAGTCCTACCGATTAATTGCTCCTTCCATAATTCCTCTTCTACACCACTGCAATCGGGAAATATAAAATATTTAGGTATTAATGTTTCTCCCAAGCTTGCAGATCTAACTAAATTAAACCATATCCCACTTTTAAAGAAGGTAGAAGATGATCTGGCTAGATGGAAATGTCTACCCATATCACTCATGGGAAGGGTTGCCGCTATAAAAATGATGGTCTTACCAAAAATAAATTATTTATTCTCAATGATCCCAACTAAACCGCCACAAGATTGGTTCAGATCGCTAGATTCATGTATGTCCAAATTCCTTTGGAAAAATAAACCCCCACGTATAAGCTTAAAAACACTACAAAAGACCAAGGATAAAGGAGGACTAGAACTGCCTAACTTTCAGCACTACTTCTTAACCAACAGGCTTCAGTTTATCTCAGGATGGCTAAAACATACCCTCTTAGATGAACTTTGGCTAGATGTAGAACAAGCACTTTGCAATAATCTAGAGATCTCAGACCTACCATTTATCAGCTCAAACATCCAATGACATGAATGCTTTAAAAGCATCAACATCAGCTCTTCTCTGACAGCATGGTGGGAGTTTCTAAAATTGACGGCGTCTTCATTAATCCCATGCAAACGTACACCTATCTGGAACAACCCTGACATATTACAAAACAATAATATGATAAACTTTTCAGATTGGAGTGGTAAAGGAATCAAATATTTAGAACATATACTAGAAGGAACAGAATTTATTTCATTTGACGGACTAGTTACACAATATGGGATCAACAAGAAAAGATTTTTAGAATATCAACAAATTAAATCCATAGTAAAAAAGAAATTTAAACCAGGTCAAGTTGAACTACAAACACCACCAAGTGTGGTTCAATTTCTTACTCTTAACCCCCCAAATTACTATCCAAAATATACAGAATGCTTTCTAAAACAGATGAATCAATATCACTTCCTATTGCAAAATGGGAAGCGGATTTATCAGTTAACTTAGACCTAAACTTCTGGTCTCAGATTTGCTTAAAAACCTTTCATCTAATTAGAAATCCCAGTCTTCAATTAATTCAATACAAAATATTACAGAGAGTGCACTATACAGGTCATCGGATGTTCAAGATGGGCTTTACGTCTACCAACAACTGCTCACACTGCCAAACCAATTCACCGGACAATTATATCCACGCTCTTTGGTTCTGTCCACCAGTGCAAAAGTTTTGGCGCGAGATATGTGACGACTTATCGAAGTGTCTGAAATGTAACATTCCAACTTCCCCCTTAGTGTGTTTACTGGGCAGCTTAGATAATGTCACTTCAGAAAAGAATATAGCCCATATGGTTTTCACTGCCCTATGCATAGCCAAGAAAACAGTCCTCATGAACTGGAAAAATAAAAATAATCTTAATTCTAACCAATATAGAAATTATCTATTAGATTACATTAGCCTTGATACAGCCTCTGCCACCACATCAGATCAATTGCTCTGGGCTCCTTTGATCAGCTCCATCACCTAGTGGGGGTGGGGGGGTCATAGTTTGGTCCCTCCTTCACTGTTGTGATTGGTGTGGGGGTAGGGACAGGCTTAGGGCGTCGGGGGGGTTCCCTGGAGGCATCTTCCTTGGGGGGCTCAACCCGGGGTAGCGGTCATGTCCGGTTAGGGGCTCTGTTGGCTCTCAGGTGACTGTTTCCTCGCGGCTGCGTGCAGCGGGGCTAGGGGAGGGTCTGTGCTGACGGACGTGGGTTACTGACCTGGTAGCCTGGCTGCCCCTGGGTGGGTCCGGGATGGGCGTGAGGTTCTGGGGGCGCTCCGTCTCTGGGCTGGGACCCGGACCGGGCCTCGGGGGCTTGGGTCCTGGTTGGTGTGTTGCCGGGGTTGTGGGCGGGTGGGTGCATGGGGGCCCAGCCCTGGAGCAGGGTGCCGCCGGTGCGTCGAGCCACCTGGGGGGCTCTTCAACTGGTGGGGGAGATTGTCACATCTTGCAGGAGCTTTCCTCTCCTCAGGAGCTCCCTCTGCAGGAGGGGGAGATACAGGAGAGGTGGAGGAAGATCTCAGCCTGGGTGTTTATTGTCTTATGTAGTCTGGAAGATGAGTGGATGGTGGGGTGGGTGCAGTTTTCTCTGTGGTGGGGTTGGGTGGACTGTCCCGGGCTCTGTGGGGCCGGGAGGCGCTGCTGCACTGGGCCCGGTCTGGATGGGCCTGGGCCCCTTTCCCTGGCGGGTCGCGGAGTATGGGGGTGCCTACTGGGGTCAGCGGGGGAGCTGGCCCCAGGGAGGGGTCACTTGCCCCTCCCTTCCTTCCCTCCCCATCTCCAGCTGCCTCCCTCTTCCCGCTCCACCACAACCACCCACACATGCAGGACCTTGGAGTAGGGGTATGTCACCAGGGTGCAGAGGAGGCACTGCAACTCCCCCTGGCTTCTGCTCCGCGGCTGCTGGGTGAGCCCTCATCTGGGACTCTCCTCAGCTCTTTCTGGGACAGTGGCGCGGCTGCCCCTCTGTTGGTCTTCCTTGGTCTCTTGTGTTCTGGGGGCCTCTGGATGTCTGGAGTTTGATCTCCTCCATACCTGCTTCATGCCCTGGAGGACGGGGCTGTGGCCCCCCCACACCCTCTAGCAGATTATTACAAGAAGGAACCTTTTAAAAAACAAAAAACAAGCGCGTCCATGCTCACAGGTGTACACACGGGTGATCACACCCACAAACTACACCTTTTTTGGCTCCTACCTCAAAGCACACTGTGTTCTGTTGATCTTATGAGCTGCACAATGATGTTTAACATTTGGTATTTGCTGTCGTATTCCCATATATCATTGTGATGTTGTTTATTCTATTACTCTTGTTCTCTTCTGCTTGTTTTCTTTTTTCTTTCTCAGCAGGTGACCCAGGTGATTGATATATGCATTTTTTTCTTCTCTGCCCGTTCTGTTGGTTTTTGTCTTTTGCCCTTCTCCCCCGTCCCTCTTCTCAGCTGTTTCTCTTTCCCTCTTTCTTTCTCCCCTTCTTTCCCCCAGTCAAGTCTGTCCCGTATTCAGTAAGTGAAAATAAAAGAAACAATAAAAGGTGAATCAAATGGACCATTACGGCAAGGCTGGGATGGTCAATTTGGTAAAGTAGATCCGTTGGGCATCTTTCTTTGCCTTTAGACAACAATTCTGATGGCAAAAGAGCCAAACAGGACAGGCAAAAAAAAAAAAAAAATTAAAATCGGTACTTTCTATATTGTTTGCTGTGTGTAGACATAAGTTCTATAACTTATGATCAAAAAAACAAACAGAATAAATCATCTGACATTGTTCAGGCACACAGGCTGGACTGCAAATAAGTGGAAAAGCAGCCAATGTCCAAAGAAAATCTTTAAAAGACTTTTCTACAGCCTGAGGAGCTATTGCCCCAAACCACCCTTGATTTCTTCAACAAAATATGAAGAAATCAAGGGTGGCTCAAGAGTTTTTCACAGTATTACATATGTATATGTATCAGTAAATTATCTCTTTTCCCTGCCCTTGAGCACCACAACATGTGAACACAAAGGTTTCTCTGTACTGAAGAAATCACAAGTAGATATGCATGACAATTTCTTTAGTGCTTCTTAACATTTTGTCTTTTAAATTTGAATCCCCCCAAAATGAACTCCCTTAAATTAAAGCATTTCATCATCAACTGACATGTTTTCATACAATACCCAACATTAACATAAACACAACTAGTGGTTAAATTGCTGCACACAATAAAGACTTTGACTGACTGCAGACAGCAGAACAGTAGTCTCAGAGGGCTTACCAAAACAGACCCTATTTGTTTGCATGTCATGGAAAAAACGCCTCTCAGCGTGTGATGCCCCATTGCGAAAAAAAAAAAGAGAAAAGAAAAGAGAAGCTAAAAAAGAAAAAAGAAAAAAACAAAACAAGTAAAAAGACACAACTATAGTAGTCTAAACAGGAGGAAATAAAAGCATGAATAATCATCTCAAGTTCAGGCTTTGACACCATTAGTCTGAATTTTGAAATATTCCGTAAATGATAAAAACAGTTTCGGACCAGCTGTTTAGAATGCTGCTCGAGCAAGCTAACTGTATTTATTTAGAATGAACTTTAATGCTACACAGATAAATACACTGCACAGAAATTGAGGTTTCTCTCCTCCGTCCAGACTGAATCTGTCAAACATGCACTGCTACTGTGAGCAGTAAATTGCAAAAAAATGCCTCCTGCATGAAAATGTATATTTTCATTGAGCCTGGCTCTGCTGGAGGTTTCTTCCTGTTTAAAGGCAATTTTTCCTTCCCACTGTCGCCAAAGCGCTTGCTCATAGGAGTCATATGATTCTTGGGTTTTTCTCTGTATGTATTATTGTAGGGTCTACCTTACAATATAAAGCACCTTGAGGCGACTGTTGTTGTGATTTGGCGCTGTATAAATAAAATTGAATTCATTTGAATTTCATCTAATTTTTTTAATATATCAGAAGGTTACTGGTCCATTCTGTACCCCACCTCTCACAGCTGCGATAGGGTCCAGCCCCCCTGTGACCCTGATAAGCTGAAGAGAATGGATGGTTTGATGGTTAAATGAAGTTAAATAATGCTGATAAATCATGTCAGCATTAAATTGCATTGTGGTGGCTCAGTATTTTTTTATGTGCTTAAACAACTATACTTGCTATATGTGCCCACTGGAGGAGTTATAGTAAACATTTTTGCTAATAAATGACTTATTAAATCATTTTTATATAATAATCTATTAAATGTTTATATGTTATGTGGCAGTATTAGCAGTATTAGCATTAATATTAGCAGTATTTAATAACACCACCTGTTTCTGCTTTAGTACTGTGTTTCGTTACCAGGTTAGCCATCTTGATGTAGAAGAGGATGTAGTTGTCTTGATGCTGGTAGATGTAAGCCAGAGCTCTGGGGTCAGACTCATCTTTGGTCAAAGAGCTGATCCTGCTCCTCTCATGGTCGTGAAGAACAGCCTGAAATGAGGATTTATCTTTTATTTATTATACAAGAAACTCTAACCACCAAAATAAGAACAGCTTTATGATACTGATCCTCAGCACTTGTGTAAATATCATCTCCACCTCTTAAGATTTTCCAGTTTTGGAAAATAAACTGCAGTGTAATAAAATACTTTTATTATGCAATCCAAGCATGAACTGTCCACTGAAGAATCACAGTCATTTTAAGACTAACTATCAACCTAAAGGGGGCGCTACAATTTGAGGACAACACAACACATGTTGGGAAATCCCTTGCTTGACTCACCCCGGTCCTTTCATCCAGAATTTTCAAGCCACTGGAGGAAATTTTCAACCAAATTCTCCTCTTGTGGATTCCCTGTTTCCTTCCTGCTACCTCAAAGCCCTTTAGCACACACACATTCACACAACAGCACAGCACAGGTGAGCTGAATAAGAAGTAAACATGAAATGACAGACATATATTCCAATGAGATAAGTCAGAGCACACATAAAAAGCGAGATGAATCTCACATTAAGGAGTAAAGCTAAACGAATTAACCGACAGAGCAGTTCTGACATATTTCACAGTCATTGTGTCTACGATTGATGTAACACCACCAGTAAGCATGCCGGGACAGCCGGAGGGAACATTGTATCTGCAGCCAGAAGTGGTCTGCTGAAAGGACCTCTTACAAACCAGGATGTACAGATCATTGCTGCTAACAAAAAAGCAAGTGCTTTCTTTGATGGTTTACTTTGTGAAATTGTTTTAATCCATGATTTACAGCCACAAAAACATTGGCAGTGGATCTGTTTCAGTCCCAATCGATCTGGGTAGGTTTTCTAAGCACTTTTTCCTACTGGAAGCTGTCTTTGCTATTGCTGAGTGTGTGGTTTGGTTGGTTTTCGCAGGTTGCTTTTTATATTATATTTCATAAAGGTGTCCTCTTCTCAGCATTATACACATTTTATTGATAAATTATTATATTTAAATTGTATAAAATATATAGGTCTCAAAACATGCAACAAGTATACCGTGCAAAAGTCTTGAGTCACACTTCCAAGCAGCCAGATGTTCTCGCGGTTTTTTAAAACTGGTCTTGACAAACATCAGGCATGGCTCGAGACCTTTGCACAGTACTGTACACAGCTTACATTATTCATATGCAAAGCTGCGATTCTGCAGTTGCTATCAAACAATCACCCAGAGACCCTGAATTGGCCTTCACAGCAGTCAGATCTGTGTAAAACGCATCCTGAGCTACTCCACAGTTACCTGCACAAAGTTCACTCTTTGATTCTATTTGCTGAGTGATTTGTGGTTTGGCTCCTGCCGTCTGTATTTTTATACTCGTTACTATGATGTCCTTCCTGTGACTGCGATCGGTGACTCACACCAGTGCTGTAGTGTGTTTCTTCTAACTGTGTTGTAATGTATTGTGTATGGTATAAACATTTATATTCAAAGCAGTGTGTGTGTGATCGCTGATTGCAGTTTAAAGTTATTCACACTACATTAGATGCATGCTGACACTGACGGTCTTGACAGGTTGCACAAGTGTGATTACAATTTTGAGTGATTGTGACCTCGCTCTGTCCGTGTCTGTTTATCGTTTATTATTGTTTCCCCCCTTTTTTGACTTTTTACAAAAGCTGTGGCGCGCTTCTCCAAACAAACTCTCACTGCATCATGCAAAGTCCTTTGAGATTAGAAGAACACGTCAGGAGTCAACAGGATGTCAGAGGCATTACAAGCCATTTTTCCACAGCAGGAATGTTCCCACAACTCATTTTCTTTCTGAAAAAACAAAGACACTGCTCATTCATCAAACATAGAGTTAAAACTGTGTTAAGGAAGAGTTTCTTTTTAAAAAATATTTAATAATAATGCTTTGTCAAATTCAAATGCCATCAGAAAGGTCTACAAAGGTCCAAAAACTACACATCGAGTCTGTTTCTGACAGTTTTCAGTCTGCAGCCTGTGAGTATTTAAAACCTTGTAGTTAGCAAATAAACTCAAACACAAAGAAAAACTTTAAGATCTGAACTCACTGATGCATGCTCTTCCACTGAAACAAACAGCAATCAGGAGCTTTTCCTACGTATGACTCATATCATAGACAGTGCATAAAAAATGTGCATGAAACAATACGTGTTAACTTACATCACAGAGGCTTCCTCTAAAAATAACCATAGATTTAACACTCTGCATGGAGCTGGATTTAAGTGGTTAAAGTTAGTTTTTAGAGCCTGTGCAGCACCGTCACATGCCAGTACAGATGTGTTGCTGCTAAAAGACTTACATTTAGCTAACTAATAACACTGATATCTCAGTGGAAAACAAGGAAACTGAAACTAAAAAGCAGTCTAAGGGAGTCCTTTCTGTGCTGCCCCCGGCTTCACAGATGGGTTTTATATTAATAAACAAAAAAATGGATACACTGTCCACTTTCACTCGCTGTCTCTGAAGCACTGAGTGGCTCTTCTTTGTTGGCTAGCTGCCTTTGTTAGCTGTAATGTTATATGTAATGTAATGTAATGTTTGAGTTGTAATTGAACTGCCAGTTTAGTGTCTTTTCTTTCGCTGTGACAGTTTTTTAGAGTAGGGCTCTGAGGTGTAAATTAACCTTAACACATGTGATGTTCTGTTTTCACTTTAAAAGCAAGGCAGATCTTTATAATGACCTGCAGAGCTCAAGTCAAAAACGGAGTCAGTAAACCAAACGGTGTAGTGGCTTTGGCCTTCTTTTATATACAGTCTATGGTTAAAAAACTAAAACAGAAGACAGAAAGTAAGTTCTAACTGTCAACACTACTGAATCTGAATACTTAAGATTGGGATCTTTAAGTACAGTATAGCACATGATTTTCTTTTCTGTTGCTTGTCACCTAACTTACTTTAAAGATTTATTCCTTTCTTTTTAGATGGAAGGGTCACCACAAGACAACAAGGACTTTCTTATTTTTCATTTTTATCTTGGAACCAAAAATGTCTGTGATAACTTTCATGCAAATCCTCCATTAGATATTGAGACATCTGAGCGCTGACCGAAATGGACAGAAGGACAGAAAAAATATATCCTCCCAGATCTTGACGTAGCTTTTAAATACTTTTGCTGTGATGCTTAAAAAAATATTGGTCTGTGAAATACAAGTACCTCCAAACGATAACATTAATCTCAGCAGTCATGAAATATTAAACGTCTGGTGTTTATCTTTGATTTTTTTCTCTGATAAAGTGAAAAAATGAAGATTGATCTTACAGGAAATCAACCAGTTTAATCAAGAGCAGACAGAAGTCACTTTACTTTGGCGGTGGACTACCTTTAGTTTCATCATGGAGTCTCTGCACATCTTTTCTCCGAGGGCGTCGGGTACTGGGTCCATGCCAATCAGCTTGGCTTTGTAGCGAACTCCTTCCCCGTGGAAGCGAGACATAGTATCCATGGATACCATGGTAGCCCCTGGGAACCACGAAGAGAGGACATAAAGGGTCAAATTATTATGAGGATGATTTTGTGTGAGAGCACAGAAATTCTTACATGTGTATATTTTGGTTAATTAACGGATTTAGGATAATGTTTGTGTCATGGTCCTGGGTCGGTGACCCAGCGCTTTTAGTTATCATTTTCTAGTTTATGATGATGATGATTATTATTGTTTGAGTTCTGTGTGTTATATTTGGTCTGCCTTTGAGTCTGTCTCTGTCTATGGTGTCACCCCATCTGTTTGTGAATCTGTCTGGTTAGGTCAATGTCTTGTCTGGTTCCATGTGTCTGAGTTTCCTGTTTTATTGTGAAGGTTTGTGTCATATGTGAGTGTGCTCAGTTTACGTTTCCCCTGTCTCGTCAGCTGTGATTTCTCCCAGGTGTGTTCCCCTCCTGTCTCTCATCCCTTGATTCTGCCGTCTGTGTATTTAAGCCCTGTGTTTCTCTGTGTCAGTGTCGCGTCATACCCTCAACTAGCTGTGTGTTCTGCTTCTATGTTCCTAGTGTTTGGTCTCCTGCTCCAGTTTAGTGTTTCTTTCCAGTGTTTCAGTCCTTGGTTCCGCTGTTCTGACTTTTGGTTTTCTTTTGGTGAGTTTAGTTGTACGAGGTTTTTCCCAGCAATAAAGCTGCGCCTTAAGTTTCACTTCCGTGTCTGAGTTCTGCATTTTGGGTCCACCACTCCTGCTTGCCTGCCACACAGCGATTCATGACAGTTTGTGTGTCACAATTTCACTAAAACCTATGTGTATTTGTGTATTTGATGTCCGCACGCCTTCAAATCATGTGTTTACAAAGATTGCAGTATTTGTGGTTTATATGAGTAAATATTTGTGTGTATGTATCTAAAACTATGCGTATGTGTACACAGGGCGTTCCTTGTGTGTAAGCAAACTGCAGAGCAAGCATCTAACTGATGCCGAGTCAGTGTTTCAATCCATTTCCCGACATGAAACAGGTAATTTAGCAATAATGCAAAAGTGTGACTGTAGCAAAGGTCGACTCCTAAACGGCTTCATTTGCGTCACGTAACAGTTTTACGGGATTTTAGTCACTGTTTAGTTCGAAGGTGAACACAAACAGACCGACACAAAGCTACAGACTGGCAACAAATTAAAGGGAAATCAACACAATTCAGCTCATTTCAGTTTTATTTCTATAGTTCCAAATCACAACAACAGTTGCCTCAATGTGTTTTATATGTTAAAGTAAACAATCGACAATAATACAGAGAAAACCCAAAGCAGTTGATGACCCTTCTAACAAGCCCTTGGCGACAGTGGGAAGGAAAAACTCCCTTTTAACCTCTGGCAGAACCAGGCTTAGGGAGCCGCAGCTATCTGATGGCTTGATTTGATGCTGGACTGCAGGATATTTTTCTCAAAAGATCAGCCCAGAAACCTGCCCAGTGTCTAGCTGGGCTGACATTTGGTGACCGTGAAGCCCATAGCACATGACTGACTCTCCACTCAGTCTCCACTCATGCCCTATGGGTGACATAAATTAAGCAATATAAATAAGTAAAATTTTATTTCTATATGACCTTTTGAGACAAAGATCACAAAGTGCATCACAACTAAACAGGAAGCGTGTTAGCAGAATTGTCCAGGTAGCTTTCACTGCCGTTGGTATAGAAATGCCTCACCTCTCTGTTGTTGTCAATGGACTATTTCTGCTGACACGGTCAGATCAACCCCTGCACTGACATGCTCAGGCCTCTAGGAAAGGTGCGTTGGGTTTCTTTACATATCAAATCAATAAGGAGCTTTCACTTCACCAGCTTGTGTGCAAGTCTTCTATATTAATTTTTTATTTCTATGTGTTCATTTGAAGACACACATTCCAGCTATAAACGGCTACAGTGGATGACATTTAGATGTTATAGCTATACTGGCAAATAAAAGTTGAACTACCAATCTGTGTCACACTTCATGAACTCATCAGTTCTGATTTATAGTTTTCTTGTGAGAATTTGGTAGTTTTGGTCCTCTAAAGAAGTCGAAGCTCCTGCAACACTCGTGGTATAAACTTTGCTGCTTGACCAGCCCGTTTCAACTTGTGGCCTTCATCGGGGTGCTTGGTAACAATTTCCCAGCTAACACAGGCTGTCGTACTTTGATTTACACCGTAGGAAAATACCAGTGCTGAGCAGTCATAGCATCGTTAAAAAAAAGAGAACTGGATAAGATCAGAACTTAGAAATATGTTGCTTCTGTTGGCTCAGATAACAGACATCTGTGAATGCTTTGGACTTTACAGCCCATGAAATCCAATATTCACTTCAGGGTCCGACATCTTTTTAATCACACTTGCTCTTCTGCTCTTAGCCGCTTCTGACTTAAGCAGTGTTTGATAACGTAGACCGGAATCTTTTCCCAAGAGCTTTGAATCATGCTTTGAATGAGTGAAAGTCTTGGAATATTTCGCAACTTGGCAGATACTTTAATTTAAGACATAGTTTTCTTCTGATTAAAGTCAGAATCACTGAGACTGCATTTCTCGAAAATCTTAATTGCAAATTTATTCAGAAATTGCTTTTGTTCCAGATCAGCTGCAACTCACATGGCTTTAAAACTTGTGATTTTCTGTGCCTTGTGTTTTATTTGAAACTGTAAAGCACTTTGTCTAGAAAATATTAACTACAAAAAATGCAGAGCTGCTTTAGGTCAGTTGTAGCAATGTTGTGCTGACTGTGGAGCCCATTTGAGTACCAAGAACTCATTGTCGTGTTCAAGAAACCAGTCTAAGATCATAAATCCATCATTGTACCCTGTAGTTATAAAGAGTTGGACATGGTCAGCAGCAATACTCAGGTAAGCTGTGGCTGTTTAACGATGCTCAGTTGGTAATAAGGGGCCCAAAGTGTGCCAAGAAAATACCCCCCCACACCATCACATCAACGAGCTGTTCAGCAGCCTGAACTGTTGATATAAGGCAGGTTTGCCCCATGTTTTCATGTTGTTTATGCAAAATGTTGACCCTATCATGTGAACAACAGAAACTGACACTCATCAAACCAGGCAATGCTTTTCCAGTCTTGTGTTGTCTGTTTTTGGTGAACCTGTGTGAACTGTGGTTCAGTTTCCTGCTCTTGGCTCCAAGGTGTGGTCTGCTACTGTAAGTTCAGAGCTCTTCTGCGTACAGTAGCTTGGTTGTAACAAGCTACTGTATGCAACTATGTAACAAGCTTTCTTTATTTGAGTTTTTTCCCAATGTTGTGATTATTTAGAAGATTTGTTAGTTATTTTCATGCTCTTAGTTAAAAAAAAAGAGTTTCTTGTGTTTCCTTTAGTGTAAAGTTATTGTGTGTATGCATTTGTCTCCTGTGTCCTTGCGTTTAGTTTCACGTCCTTTGTGTCATTATTCATGTCGGTTTCAGCTGTCTCATTTCCCCCGTTTCTATTTCCTCAAATGAACCCTTTGTGTATTTATTGCGCTGCCTTCCTTTTGCTTTTTGTCTTTGAGTCTCTGTTGTCTTCTCCCATTTATTGGCAGTAAATTGGATTACATTTGTTTTTCTTTCACAGATTTTAATTTTGGATCGCAAACTAGCCATCATTCAAGTGCTTTGTGTTTTATTCCCGCCTGCCTTTGGAGTCTGCTTTTGGCTCCCTTTGCATCTGACCAGTCTCCTCTGACCTCTGTCATCAGCAAGACCCTTTTGCTCAGAACTGCCGCTCTATGGATATTTTCTCCTTTCCAGAGAAAGCCATATGGGAAAAATCCCAGTAGCTACGCAGTTTCTGAATTATTCAGACTATCTGGCGCCAACATTCAAAGTCGCATAGGTCACCTTTCTGCTTGATTCTAATGCTCGGTTTGAGTCTCAGCAGTTCATTTTGATCATGTCTACTTGCCAAAATGCACCGAGCTGCTGCCGTGTGATTGGCTGAATAGATATGTGTTAATGAACAGTTAAAGAGGTGTACCTTATAAAGTGGCTGTGGGTTTTATTTGAGAGCTACAGTCTAAAGTGATCATATTCTCATATAAAATCATGATTGCTCTTGATGGCAGTTAATGTGTCAAAGACGTCTCTAAAAAAGATTATGTAATATCTACTGTCGGAGATTAAAGTTCCTCTGACGGTCCGTCATTTTGCTGACCACACAGCTGCTTTGCAAATGGAAACGCCTAAACTGTTGAAATTTACACCTCATAAACAGACATTTATCCGCTTCACATGAAAGCTTCTTGCAGCTGGAAATGTGCCACATGATTTACAGCCACCGTGTAAGCTCATATTTTTCTCCCACAGCTGGAACAGGACATAACAGAAGAACAAAACAAAGCGTTACCTGCAAAAGCTTTCAGTTCCCATCAAATCTCAACAAACTCACTGTGCTAGGACTAACAGCCAAACATACTGTGATATTGTCAGCGCTGTTTATATTATGCATGGAAAGTGCAATTTAGACCCACTAACTTAAAGTAAATAGTGGCTCTTTGGCAGAACTGCTAGTCTGTTTTTAAAAGCTCATAAGATTTTCATTTTACTTAAAGGTTTATTCCTGGTGCTTAGTTTTAAAATCCCATAAAGATCAGAATCTTGGCAGCTGAGCCCAAAATAGCCCAGCTGGAAATGAGCTCTGTGTGCCACAACATGCAATGCCAGTGGAAAAATAAGCAAGCTGAAGGGAGTTCACCTGGGCAGCTGATGTGAAAGCTGAAGATAACTTCTGAGAACTGAATTAGTCTCTGAGGCTTTATGTATCTGCTTCAAATGTGCAGCGATTAGAGGAAACAGTTTGAAGAGCCTGGATGAAAATAGATCCAGAGCCAGACTCAGTCAGAGGCGTTTAGCACACACTGCAACTGAACAGCAGTAAAATATGCCTTTGCTTACAGTCTAAGCACATCCACGCTTTGCATTCTTAGCCTTTCATGCAGCTTTGCGTCATTCTGGAGGGAGCACTCTTTACTGACATTATTAACTTTGAACCTTACGGTCAGCTGAGACCAAACACTTGTACCTGTTATACTTGCTGTGACAGTGGTTTGGCTCAGCGCAGGAAAACTTCCAGCCGTTTGCTGTGTCTCCATCACGATGACGTCTGCTTAGAAAATCAACGCAAGCAGGACAGAGGATCCCGTGAAAACAGTGAGCCCGTCACAATTGCTGGCTGCAAAACAGAATTTGAAAACCAAAGGTATTTTGTAAAACAATCCCTCTAGTACTTCTGGTAGTATTGTAGATTTTTTGAATCTAAAAGCAGAAGACTAAAACCTTTGATCCACCTCACCTGCTCAGAGTGTGTTTCTGCTCTCTCCCTGCTGCTTGGCTTGTCTGCAATATCTCAGAGTCAAAGGTCAGGCTGCAGATTCACTGGTGATATATTAACATCCGCTGGGAGGCCCAATTACATGGGAATCCTTGTAGACTGAAGAAGGTCTAATAGGAAGGACAGACAGTTCATGGTAATTTCCCTCTCAGGGGATGAATGTGAGGTCATGCCTTTCCCTCAAGGACAGATTTGGGTGGTATTTTCTTAAAATAACAGCTGAGGTTCTCTGAAAAACTCTGCAGGAAGGGTGGTTGAGAGAAGCCAGAAAAGAGCAAATGCTGAAAAAAAAGGAAAGATAAGGATAAAAGTTTACAAACATATCAGACAGATATGTTTTCAGAAATAAGTAGATGAAATATTAATTGCGATGTTATGTAATCCCTCATAATACCACAAAAGGATTCCCTTCGTTTAAAATTGTTATTCTGTTTGTACTCATCGCAATGCAAAAACTACCAACATGAACTTCATGAAAGTCGGTCAACAAAAAGATGGACACATTCAGTTATGCCAAGTGTCTGGACCCCTCATTAAAATGCTTTAATTACAATGTTGGGCTTGGCAGATTAAAGCTTTGTGGTTTAAATGTAGCTTTAATGTGATACCTGGTATCTCAGCGTCCATCCAACTTCATCCGCTTTATCCGAGGCCGGGTCGCGGGGGCAGCAGCCTAAGCAGAGAGGCCCAGACCTCCCTCTCCCCAGCCACCTCCTCCAGCTTATCCAGGGGAACACCAAGGCGTTCCCAGGCCAGCCGAGAGATATAATCTCCTCAGTGTGTCCTGGGTCTGGCCCTAGGCCTGCTCTCGGTGGGACATGCCCTGAACACCTCACCCAGGAGGCGCCCAGGAGGCATCCTTGTCAGATGCCCGAACCACCTCAGCTGGCTCCTTTCGATGTGGAGCAGCAGCAGCTCTACTCTGAGCCCCTCCCGGATGGCCGAACTTCTCACCCTATCTCTAAGGGAGAGGCCAGCCACCCTTCGGAGGAAGCTCATTTCTGCCGCTTGTATCCGCGATCTCGTTCTTTCGGTCACTACCCACAGCTCGTGGCCATAGGTGAGAGTAGGGACGTAGATCGACCGGTAAATTGAGAGCTTCGTGTGCATTTTTTAATTTTAAAGGGGCACTCTGAGCATTTTTATTAGTTTGGGGGAACAGACTACTCACACACGTTCACAAGAGCAATACTAACATGCTGATATTTGTTGTGTTTTTCTATGTTTACCATATGCACAACATTAAGCTAGTGTTTGCTATTTGGGAGGATGCGGGTAGATTTGCAATGATCATTACAACCTTACTGAGAGAGGCATGACAATGTGTACTAGATTTCAACAATATAGAAACAGTATGACTAGGACAAGGAGGCAGACAGGACTATTTATACACACTGGGGTGATTATGGGAGATCAGCAGGAGGGTAGCAGGTGAAGTAAATATTTCTCCAGACTCCTTGGAGGACATTCAAAGCTCTTCTTTCCATGTTGGCTGCCTTTTGCTCAAGATGGATTTTGACAAGATCCCCAACAGCTCCGGCTGAAATGTAGCCCTAAACCAAACAGTCTCACCGTGTCATCGTCCCTCAGTCCTCCTGAGCTGCCTGCTGCAGGCTTTGTTTACTCTCTGTCTCCCTCTCCTCTCTCTGTGGTTGTGTGTCTGTGTTCATGGGTGGGACTCATCACGGGTTCCCACCTCTGGCTGAACACACCTGCAACAGTCAATCACCTGCTCCAGATGAGCTCATCAGGAGGCGAGTGGCTGAGCTTTGTTCTTTGCTAGACTGTTCAACTATGCTGTTAGTAAAGCCTCAGCTCTTTAGTGTGGCGTGTGCTCTTTGCCTGCCCCCTGTTCTTTCCTTTCTATACAGACATTCCCTGGAATTCCCCCTCCCTGGATTGCTTGGAGAGAGTGCCTGAGCTGAGTGAGGAGAGTTTGGATTATTTGGATGCCCCTGATCCTTGCATCCCAGGAGCCCCTGTTTCCCCATCACAACTTGTAACATCACCTGGGTGTTTCACTGTAAATAAATGCACTTAAGTTGACCTCTCCGAGCTCTGCCATTGAGTCCTCTTCGCCCACTGCTCTTGACTGTATTTTACAGATACCTGCTGTATGTCTCACCTTACCTTTGCCATACATATTAAAAACCATTCAAATCATAAAATTTCAAATTTGGAGTCGGTGAACTGTTAGCATTAATTTTCAGTCCAGTTCTTGTGTAATTATTTGCTAAGTTGTCTATTATAAGTAGACAGCACAGATTCATCTCTTGAGCTAGGAGCACTTTCTTCTTCTTCTTCTTCTTCTTCTTCTTCTTCTTCTTTTTGCTTGAATGATTGATGATTTCCACAAATTCCTCTGAAAAAGGTCAGATAGATGGAGTAGACAGAAAATGTATGAAAAAGTGGCCAATGTCCTTCAGAAAGCACAGAGAGCTGTTCCTAAAGACCGCTTTAAAAGAGAAGAGGAAGTCTGGCTTCCTGGAAGCCAAATATAACCCAGCGAGGGGTGACAGTACTATGTAACGTACACTGTGGCCCCTCAACTCATTCATTAAGCATTCAGTCTGAAATGTGATGACATCACAATGACATCATCATCATGTTTATTTTGTCAGACTGAGGACCTCCCTTCAGTCACACTCATTACTCAAATGTTGTTAAAGCTGAGTACCGCTCCTGATGAGTAACCTGAATATCCGGTGTCCTACGTTAAAGCCCCTCTGACTGCAGACTTCCTCGTGGGCGAGTTTATCAGGAGATGACACACCGACTTTCACACATGCTTCTGAAATGAAATTTATAAAGAGGAAAATAGTCTGAAAGAGTACGGGAATGCGAGTCAGCAGTTCTGGGTATTCTAGTTTTCATTTCATTTTAAAAAGAAACAGGTGCTGACCTGCGAAGGGCGGGGATCATTCCTCAAAATGAAAACATTCCCTCAGTATTAAACATTAATTTGATTTTACTTCAATGCTTTAACAAGTCTGTGTCATCCTGTCAGTTTCATTCTTTAAAAATCATGATGCTTTTTCTTCTAGCGAAAGCTCTGCCTCTTACAAGGGTTCAAAATGCAAGTGATGCACTTTCTTGAATAAATATTTATGAACTAGTGCACTTTTATTATTATATTTAGGTTAGCAAAGAGGTTTTAATCCAACTACAGACATTTTCTCGGGGAGCAAGACTGATTTGTTGAAAACCACCCAAAACAGGATGAGTTTTATATCAGATTAGACATGTCTTTCCCAAGATCTCTTCTAAATGAGAGGGGTTTATTTAAAGCCGAAATCATAAACAAAGGCCAGAATATTCAGATCGGACTGGCAGATCTGGCATCATGTTAGAGACTTTAGTAACCGGAGGATATTCAGTGCCCGATTTAATAGGATTTAGGCTTTCTGCAGAAAGCACCAAAAGCAGGAAAAAGGTCACATGGACTGCTGTCATCAAAGCACCGAGGGGGTTTCAAGTTTCCTTTTAATAAGAACAAGTGTGGGATAACATATGCTGACATTTCCCAACATTTGTACACACACACATACACACATGCTGGGCTGGGCTCTGCCAAATTCTCAACCTTGGGGTGGGACGGTTTTATTAATGTGTTGGGTTTTTTTGGCCTGATTTGAAGTTAATTTCCTATTTTGCTCTTTATACTCACCTAAACAGAGGAACTTGTTTTAAAGAAGAAGTAGCAATATTTAAGCATACCCAATCTAAAAAAAAAAACCTAGCAAATTAGTTGATTAAATGTATCATTACTTTAGCTTCCAAAAGTCACATAAAACAGCTAAAATAAAATAAAGAGGACATGATTTCAGTGGCTACCAAAATGCCAAGGTGTTGATGTCATGCCAGACCTGTGAGTCATTAATTTAGGCTAAGTGCTGCTAACTGGAGCTGATTCTCATCCAAACTGAGACCACATGTGATTGTAACTTTATATATAGGCCAAAGTTTCTTGCAGTTGATATCGCTGTGCTAAAAGTGCATCAAACCTCAACAAGAGTCACAGGGGTTAAGAAAGTCAGCTGGGACTTACGTCCTCTTTATTCAGCTTGTCCTCTGAGGTGATGGTCATATGTACAGTGCAAATTCAGGAACATTACATTCCGATTAATGGAGAGTGACGTCATAAGCCAGCAATGATGGTGCAAATACATCAGCAGCTTTGATATCTGGATCTGAATAAGTCTCCATCATATTACTGCGATCAATGCGATCAAGTGTTTCCCACATCCCACAAATCAGCTGTAGTTGTGCGTTTCATGCTTAAACTTTGAAGGATTACATGTTCTTCTATGTCTTGTGGAAACAGTGTGACCCTTTGAGCAGATGAAATGGATTCAAAACCTCACCGGATGAACTAAAAAAAAAAAGTCGAGTAATTAGATTAGAGCTTTTTTAGTGGATTATCAGAGGTTTGGTGAAGTTTTAGCCCATACAAGCACAACAAGTATCACAACCTCAATCTGAAAAACAAACAAACAGCTGGGACGCTGTGTAAAACGTAAATAAAATCAAAATGGAATGATTAGAAAACTCATATTTTATTTGCAATATAACTCTGCAAACAGATTGTATGTTTAAATGTACCATTTTAAGAATAGTATTAGCCCACTTTGAACTTGATGTCAGCAACATGTCTCATAAACGTTGGGAAAGCACATTCTCTCTTCTTGTAGCAACAGTCTGGGAACTGAGGACACCAGCTGCTGAACTTCTAGGAGAGGAATGTTGCCTTATACAGGATTCCAGCTGTTCGACAGTGCTAGGTCTTCTTTTTTGTATTTTTCATGTCATGATCCACCAAGGGTTTCAATTTGTCAAAGGTCTGGACTGCAAGAAGTTCACTTCAGCACCTGGACTCTTCCACTATGGAACCATGCTGCTGTGATAGCTAAATTCTGTGGTTTAGGAGTGTCTTGCTGAAATATGTCAGGTCTTCAATGAAAAAGATTTAATCTAGATGGGACTATATGTTGCTCTAAAACCTGATTATGTGTTTCCAGATGTGTAACGGGTATTACTG